AATATCTAACCAAGTGAGAGATCTACAGATCATTTGCAGATAGACATATATATGATATTCAGTTGAACTGTAAAGAAGGAAATATTCATTTATAAGACTTATATGAGTGTTTTGTTATTTTTATGGCAAGTACAGGGAAAAGATAAAGTAATTTGATTTAAACATTAATCCTACCTACAGATATACACGAGATATACATGTAGGCATACAATTCACTGATGCACGACAAATGGAGTTACATGTAATTTTAGAACTAAGAATATGACATACATGTATGATTGCCAATGAAACAACTCTCCATCAGAGAACAAATAGTCATATATTGTCCACCAGAGAACAAGAAAATCATATTTTATCATGATTTATATTTCAATTTCATTTCATAACACAGACTACAGGTTTACAAAAAGTTCAAAAATATAATAAAAGTGTTTTAATTGCAGTTGTTGGTCATATTGATGTTGGCCTTCAATACTGAGCAAGACCTCTGTACACATGTAGCAGCCACAGAATGTTTGAACCAAAAAATTATGGGTATTTTTTCTTTGCTTGCATTTATATCATGTAGCTGCTATTTTGTACATATGTACATTTTCATACATGTTCACGAATCACGTGTATCTAGTTTGTCTACCGGTATACTTGGAAATCTGGAAATTTTGCATGTTTTCATATTAGTCAAGTTAAAATTGGTTAAACCATTGTATTATTTTGGTTAAAAAATATAAATTGATTTAAATGAGACTGCAATAGTTAATCTCACATTTTTCGTCCTTTGTTCAATAATTATAATAATCTAGGGAATAAATTTTACTAAAAAATTTCTGTGTATTTTTAAAAGATATATAAACTTGGAAACTTGTGATGGAATATTTCCACAGTATAAGAGATTCTTATATCTAGCAGGTTTAGCAAAAGATGTTGGGTATACCATGTATACATGTATGGCAATGAGACAGCATTCCCAACACAGACAGATATTACTTTCTTCTTATTTTAAATTTAAAATTGAGAATGGAACAGCAGAAGGTCACCAATAGGTCTTCAATGCAGCGAGAAATTCTCGCACCCGGAGGCGTCCTTCAGCTGGACCCTAAACAAATATATATACTAGTTCAGTGATAATGAACTCCATACTAAACTCCAAATTATACACAAGAAATTAAAATTAAAAATGATACAAGACTTACAGAGGCCAGAGGCTCCTGACTTGGGAAAGGCGCAAAAATGCGGCGGGGTTAAACATGTTTATGAGATATCATATTTATGTAGTACAGCTAGAATTTGATATAAAAATAAGATGATGTGGTATAATTGTCAATGAAGTTTTGATTAACAATTATATGTAAGTTGTGTTACTTTTTGTGATGGGGTCAGGTAAAGATTAACCCATGATTTTTGGTAGGTAGCAGTTTTATAAGCATTTACATGTACATATCATTTTTACTTTCCATGCTGACTATTTTGTCCTGTCCCCTATATCATGATTCATTCATCTGAAACTTTTGGATTGTGTTTACATGTATGTAAAAATAGTAAGTTATTTCTGTATTTTTATACATACATGACATACTGGTACATAGAATTTCTTTTATTCGGACAGAAAAGAAATACCATTTCAGTTGGCTCCAATCTCAGCAGTTGATAGGAAATAAGTTTTCTGATTTTAACATCTTTAAGATGAACCTTAATTAAAATATTATGGCACTTCATAACGAAAACACAATTGATTGATCGTGCTGAATGTCACGTAAGCACTTACGGCTTTTTCTTTGTTGTCCATTTGTATTGGTGGACACTTTGTACAGTAGGCAGGAATTTAATATGAAATAAGCGGCAGAAAAAAAAATAGGTCACTTAGTATTTCCAACTTCATGATAAAATTTTATACTTTTTAAAGGTTGAGAAATTAAGATGATATATATGCCAAGGCTGCAGATTGAATAATTTGTACATGTACATGTACCTAAATCTGAAACAAATCACAGATGAAATTAAAATTAGTCATACATGTATATGCATCTGATATAATTTTTCAAACTGGTTATCGCTTTATGATATATATATATATACATGTAGCATGATGTAGTGTAAGCATAAATTATAGAGCACAAAGTTTTTTTAAGTTTGGGTTACTCAATGCCACATCTTCTAATCCTTATTCCAAAAAGGTAGTTTGTGCACATATTAAAACTCACTCGTTCTATGAAAACAGAAATATATCCCCCATGTTAATGCTGGTGTATGCCTTTGAATCCCAAACAAAATAAAATGAGTAAAAGGAGGTCAGAATGATTTTACCAAGTAACTGTAAGGATGTTAGAATAAGTAAAATATTGCTCCAGATGAGTTGAAAAGGAATATTCTGTGCAATAACATGCAGGAAATAACTATGGACATAATAAAAAAAAGCAAGCCATACAAAAAACTGGCATGGCAGCTGGTGAAAATTCATAATCATTTAGATGCAAAACAATCACCCTGCCCCCACCAGAATGAATTCAAAAAGACCTCCCAATCATGACTTACAAATTGATACCAGTCACACTTGATAAGCAGGAGATATTCAACAAATAAAATCTGGATACATTTATGCAGGTAGGAGTTAATAATTATAATTTAAACATTACCAATGACACGCCGAACAAACAAAAAATCATGAATTTTGGTATAAAATTCTTTGTGAAAATGCAACTTTTTTCATTAAAATTTTAATGGTTCACAATACACAAACACTAGAAGAGACCTAGTAGGCTAATCTATTAATTTATATAATGAACTTGCACTTGGAAAATGAGAACTATACAATTACAAGCACACCAAATGCGGATTCCGGGTTTGAACAAAAAAAGGGGGAAGGCTGCATGCCCCAAGACTGTATAATAATGACCTGAATAATTCTGATTTTTTTCCTTCATTAAATTAAGCAAGCAATAAGATCATATTTGTTTATTCGCCCAATCATATCATTATGACATGAAACGCCGGTGAAAACAAAATATACACTTAGTTTTTCCGTCAGCCGATCCGACTACTACAGGGTCTTTCGAACGCTTTTTTCTTGCATTTCAGGGCGATTATGCAACTACATCTTAAATTAATTGAAAAGTGCAGGTACAAGAGCTATACCAACCCACTCCATTCTGGTATTGGTAGAAAGGCCACATTTCAAATTTTTCAAAAAGTGCTGCTACTAGTTATATAACGTTCGTGTAAAAGAAATTTCACAACCCGAAGTGCCAAAAAGTCAATAAATCGATAGAATTCTCCATGTTTTATTGTTTTTTATTTACAAAACCTCTAATAAAAAACTAGTGGCAGCACTTTTCCAGTAAAATAAGTTATCCTGATTACAGGGAGACCAAAATCAGGGCGATCCGATTTCATCTTGCACCTGCACTTTTGACTTTTTTGGAAAATGTCTTTACTTTCAGTTTGAAGTCACGTGACACTAGTGTATTTATATTTTTCTATAAATAAAAGTTTGGAATGTAAATCTGAATAGACCCTTTTCTCTCCGTTTACTCCTATGACGTGTATTTTGGCTTTTAAACAGAGAAAACTAACTCTGAGTTCAATATGATTTTTCTTGTGTATAAAAATGGGAAATTTCTTAAAACGACCTTAACATCCCTGCGTTTTCAACATATCCGAACTTTCTCAAACGGCAGTAGATGGGGGTGACCCCTGCGGACTAACCGTTTATTTCATTTGGTGTGCTTTATCATGTAGACAATTTTCAATTATAAAGATTGTGTCTATAAGTAACTGTTTTCAAATTATAATCATTGGAAAATGAAAAATAATAAAATCCCATAGGGTTCTATAGTAAACCCCTTCCTTCTTTTAGCCCCCCAAAGTACCCCTTTTGAGACCCCAATGCATAAACAAAACCCTTATTGCACCACTTGACATGATAGTTTAACATATTGTGGAACCTTAGGTAAATCTGACTAGCAGTTTTGGGGAACGGGTGCGGACAAGTTTATGAAAAAGAAGAAGAAGAAGAAGCAGAAGAAGAAGAATAATAATAATAATAATAATAATAATAATAATAATAATAATAATAATAATAATAATAATAATAATAAGAACTGATCAGAAACAATAAGTCTCTAAACTTTGCTTAGGAGACTTAATAAAGAAATATTTCAAGCCCCCCCCCCCCCTCCCCCCCCTGAAATATATCTATTTCTAATAGGACAAAAAACGACAGCTCTATAAGATCGGAAGGGGCTAGGTGAGGCAAATATTTGCTGTTTCCGTAGTTAGTTTAAAACATAAGGAGATGTGGTATGTTTGTCAATGATACAACTATCCACTAAAGTTCAAATGAAGTTGATGTAAGCAATTATAGGCAATCTTACGGCCTTCAACAATGAGCAAATCCCTTACCGTATGGTTGGCTATAAAAGTCTCCGACATGAAAAATATGAAACAATTCCAATTGAGAAAAATAACGGCCTTATTTATGAATATTATATGTTCCACCTGTTAAATACAGTATGGGAATAAAACATCAATTTCCCATGTCGAAGGGAGATACATAGATTTGTTTAGCCTCGAAAAGTCACCTATGAATTTTCTAAGGTAAAAGGAAAATTAAACATAGTAAAATAAAATAAATTAAGATATTTCAGATAAAATAAATTACGTCAGTCAAATTTATTCATTCTTATTTTTGGGAACGAAAACGTTAAATCTAAATTCAGTATTGTTTTGACAGGAAGTATCTTTTATGCCACAATAGACTTAAATGGCTAAAATCATCAATAAGCATTTAAAACAATTTCGAAATAAAGTATTTTTTTCAGAGAAGTTAATTCATGTTGAATCTATTTGAATTATACAGTATGCCTATACTATTCGTTAGGTATTATCGAAAGTATTTGATAACCGGAAGAAATAGATGAACTCGAACTTCGACTTACAAACTGCATTTTAATCTCCTAAAATCTACCAAATGATTGTTTTTTTTAATTTCAAATTTTATGTTTTACCTTTAGGATATTTGCTGCCATGTTTAACACTTGCTTTCAGCTGGGCTACTCTGTCAGATCGAATTCCCTAAAACAAAACAATTTTTTCTTCATTAAACCCACAATAACCTCTACAACTTTTCCATTTTTAAAAAATGTCAAGTACTAATTCATAAATTAGACACATAATGTTAAATCACAAAAAAGAGAGAAAAAAATAAGGTCGATCTTTGTTTTCTCAAATGCTGTATTCTGAGTACAGTTGGGTGCAGACCAAGCATTACATAAAGTAAACGCAAGTTAACGCCGCGTGTACATATTTCGTTAGTTAATTTCAACTTCCGCGTTTACTAGTAAACGCGCGTTTACTATAATTACGTTAACGCGGTCAAAATGGAAATTTCTAATGTCTACCCGAGTAAACGGGCGTTTACTCTGTGTCCGTTTAGTAAGTAGTAAACGCGCGTTTATTTTTCGCGTTAAATGATTGTGTAAATTAAGAAATAAACTTCGTGTTCATTTGTAAATTTATTTTATTAAAACGACTTTTATCTTAATATTTTACGTATATGTTTTTCAAACCAGAACGATTCAAAAACACCTCCATTTCGAAATATTAACTTTTATTTATTACAAAAATCAGTTTCAATATCTTTACTGAGTTGAAGATTTTCTATATTTTCTTTTCAAAAGTTACATGTACAAATATCGAGGCGGATAGAAAGGTTATCCAACACATCGGAAAAATATTTTTATATGATAGGATATAAACATCATGTTTTACGTTGCTTCGTTCCCCATTATTAACAGTCTCTTCCTAAAAATAACTCTATGCATTTAATACATGGAAGTTTAATCGTAATTCACCTTGTTTGCCTTGGATTTACATGATTTAAGATTCTGATTTGCCAAATGTTCAAACGAAAATTGTACAGTGTGTATAGGGATATTAATAAAGTGTTGCATAAGTATGCACATTTGTACCATCTCGTCAATTTAGACAGACTTATCCATAACGATTATAAATGATATCTAGGACGTCCGAAAAATATACCCGATCTGAACATGAATGCAATATTTGCCCCTGGACGTTAGGCTACAAACAAAATCAATCAGACTACATACTGACATAATATATTAGCAGTATACTATTCCAAGAAGAGAACTTCTCATACTTTTCATTATAAAGTATATGAATCAGTCCTGTGAGTGTTGGATGATGTCGTTAAATAGTTTTGTTTAAAATACACACCATCACGAACTACTGCCTTAAGTGACAGTTCATTATTATAGATACAGAGAGGAAATGATGGCACTCTAAATTGATGTGGACAAAATTTTGTAGTCATTGTGTTCCAATATTGCTGTTATCTTTATTATACAATCTGTCCTGACATAAAAATATTACTGGTTTACTATGTGACTATAAGATTTACATAATAAAGTGCACAAATGGTCAGTTTTGGTTGATGCGGTCAAAAAATTTTGTTATACGAGTTAGTCTGAGGTATGAAAACTACTGATATTTGTTTACGTTTCAATATTTTAAAAAAAAAGAGGACATGCTGGCACGCTAAATTGATGCGAACAAAATTGTGTAGTCATTGTGTTCCAATATTGCTGTCATTTGTATTATACAGTCCATCCTGCCATAAAAATATAACTGATTTACTATGCAGCTATATAGATTTACTGGATAAAGTGCAAATATGGTCAGTTTTGGTTAATGAGATCAAATAATTTTGTTTTAGAGTCATTCTGAGTCAGCCAGTCTGAGATGTGAAAACTCTTGAATTTTTGTGATGATTAAATTATTTGAATAAATTTAAAGAAGGACATGCTTGAACTGTTTATTTGCGAAGAAAAAGAAATTTACTATGATTAATTTTTAAATAATTAAAGAGGTGTAATAACACTATTAATTAACTGTAATCGTTAATATGTCAATCAAAAATGACCAGTTGGTCATTTAATTTTGATGTACCTTATCATTTGATATTTAAGGTCAGTGTATCCAGGATGCGATGACAATCTGCGTTAACGCGCGTTCCCTACAAACAGTAAACGTGCGTTTACTTTTAACGAAAAGAGAAGATGCGCCTTTTTTCACGTTAACGCGGAAGTAAACGCGAAAGTAAACGCCCGTTTACTCTTTACAAAATTAGAAAACGCGCCGTTTTTGCGTTAACGTGGAGGTAAACGCGAAAGTAAACGCCCGTTTACTTTTTATGTCTACTGAAATTTCGGAGTTAACGCACAGTTAACGCGGCGTTTACATGAAGTGCACGCGAGTAAACGCCGCGTTAACTTTTTCCGCCCGTCTACATGTAATGCTTGGTATGCACCCAACTGTATGTAACAAATCAATATTTTTGGAACCTTGAAGTTGAACATCAAAAAAGTATTACAATTATATCAATAACACATATCAGATGTTTACAAGACAGTCGTCTTTCAGATTTATTTCTTTATATTTGTGAATGACTTGCTTCGAACTCATCGCATGTAATGCAACTAGTTCGCTGTGTATGCAATTACTCTGTAATACAATATTCCTTATGTTTGTTTTCAGTTATAAATGGAACAGGAAATTACTTTCATATTTCAATTATTCTTAAACGATTAATCTGATGCAGTCGGTACGCATGACCAAGTATATAAGAATACAACTTTAGAAAATTTGAAAAAAATACTCAATATTATATTTTACTTTCAGCAGTAGCAACCCATTATCAATACCTGGTCCGTTTTTCCATTCCTATTAAATGCTTCTTCTATCTGTTTAAAAGTTTCTTGTATCAACTTATCAGTTGGTCCAATAACTTGTACAGTGCATGTTGCAAAATCAGGGCAAGCCACATCAGAATCATCAAACATTTTACCCGCTGAAGCTGAAAGTATACCATACACGATAATATCTTACAAAAAATAATAAAATATCAGTTGGTACTTTGATTTATTAGTTAACAGTGTTCTAGTGTCCTAGTACGATATACGGGGTCAGTAAAAAATCAATTGCATGCAATAACATGCACAACTAAAACCTTTGCGAATCATTTCTTAATTCACATTTCATTTGAGATAATGTAAACAAGTGGGATATTTGAAAAGAATACTTTACCGACGAGAGAGTTACTTAAAATCATATCACCTGAGTTCTTACGTGTTATTTTATTTATTAAATCAAAACATAATACAAGTTAAAACAAGTAGAAGAAGGCAAATAATATAATTGATATAGACATGTTATGACTGCTCAATACAAGAAGGTACAAACTGATATTGTGAAGATTAAAACTCGGGGTATCCTTTAATTACTATATAATATCATTGAAATTGTTACCGTTTTTGCTGTCATTCTTATTAGTTTGTATGTAAAAACTATTTTTAAGGAGGTTGACATTTCGGCTCCAAAAATAAAATAATGTTATGATATGAAACCTGACAAAAACTGTCTGTAAAATATTTAAGCTCCATGTGATTTGTAAAAGATAAAATATAGCAAATCTGCAAAATGATATAAAGAAATATACATCAATGCACAATTTTTTGTTGGCAATTAATTATTGCAAGCTACAGAAAATTGAAGGGAAATTGTTGCGGTTTGTTAATAAGTGTTGCTTAATGCATTTTATGTTAAAGAATAGAAATTATGATCTTAAATAAGGAGGTCATTCAAGTATTCTTTTACCATCCTGTTGTTCAATTATATGTCGATTCAAAATGCAGTTTTATAAATAACCTATATTTATAAATTCAAATGTAGTTAATTTCGATCTTATATATTAATGCAAAAGAGAATACATGTTTAACATGGTTTACAGCTAGCAAAACCTCAAACTTGTATGACAGCCTACTTCAGTTCCGTTATAAACAATATTGTGAGCACATGCTTTATTGGTTAACTAACAACAATTGGGATCCAGCAGCCAAAATGTAAACATACAGCATAGATAAATAACATAACAGAATTAAAGAAAACCAACCAAACAAAATCGTCAAGAACTGCATATAAATAAATAAAAGACGACCAGAACATCTTTCTGTAATTGATAGTAAAATATGATATAGTATAGTTAAATATATTTGACATACACACGCTCTCCCGAACAAGTACAAACATAGAAATAAGATACGATAGTACACAACCTTTAAAGATAACCAAAAGGAAAACTTCAAAGAAAATAAAACGATACACAACGTTAGCACATATAACCAATCTCCTGTATTATTTGTTAATTTAACAGTGAGTATCAATAAATTAGGTTTTGTTACCTTCCGATGATTTTTTTGAGGAAAAGGACGACACGTATTTTTACAAAACCCTGACTCATGAAATTTTAGTTCAGACAGCAATGACGCTTTCAGAGATATGAGTAGCAGCTTCAAGCCCCTGAAAATCGTTGAGTTGAGATATATGTACTACTTACGCCGGCGAAGTTAGTAAATTGTGTTAGGCTGAGGACAATTTATAATTTCCGAAATTAAAATCGAATCGTTTGTCATAGTATTTGGTACTAGAATGACCGCTGGAGTCAAATTTGAGGTTAATGTCTAAAACGAGTCAGCTGACTGTTTCAGTTTTTTTATTGATAGTTCTGGAGGGTATATCAATGAAACTCAATCAAAAAATTTTGATTGTTAGTTGAGAGAATATTATCGATATATCTGTATGCAAAATTAAATGATCTAGCGTCTTGTTTTTACATTGTATATGTCGCAAAGAACCCCAACTCATGTGCAAATAAGGACATGTCGATAAGGAGAGGAGCATAGATGGCTTGATAGCACTAGTAAATGAAGTTTAGTGTAAACGGTAATTTTTATCTAAACAACACATGAACAGTCTGAACCAAAAAACGTGAAGTCTTGTTAACAGGTTTCGAGTGTTTCCAGATATTTTATTAATGTAAATTCAGTACGGTTCAAACATATGGCTTGTAGTCAATCCAGTCTTTTTCAGTAGCGTGCAAGACATTTCAGTATGTTGTTGTTTTGTACAGGTTAAACAACACCTCATAAAACGTCTGAACATAGACTGAACATATCTTAATTGACTACAAGCGAACTGTCTTATCAGTACTGAATCTAACACGGTGGATAGGCCTGGAAATTAACTAAAAGACTGACCAGAACTTTATAATTTATTATTTGGTCTTTTAAGAGCTGTTCTTATCAACATGACAGTTTTATATCAAAATTATTTTTTAGTGTAGACGGTAGTGTCTGATTTACTTAATAAAAAAAATTTAAAATAGGGTAAAACTTTTCTTTTGTTTTCTTTATTTTCTAAATCCTTTAAAGAATTTTGGGAAATACAGTATAAAACAAACTGCAATTGATTAACTTATCTCACCTGTTTTCTTTCTGTTATGTTCTTCTGCTTCAAATACCTATCATACAGAATATGAAATAAAAATGATGAAAAACTGATTAACATATTAAGCAAAACGATTAGATACAAACTATTTTATTCTCATTGCTTATTAATACGTTTCTATAAAAATGTTAAAACTATGCAAGATAGGGACTGCTTGTTGCAAGAATGATCAGAAATGATGAAATTACCTCATTCGAAACAAAAATGTATTTTGTAATCGCTTCAAAAAAATTTGTCTCAGGCGAATGCTTGTGTTGTATGCTTACATTGCAAAACAGTTATAGAAATCGTCATTTTTCTTTTAATCAATCCTCCGAATTTAGCATCGGAATTGACGTAAAATGAAACCTAAACTATAGAATATTGTAAGAAAAAAGAATTTGTATTAAAGATGGCTACGGAAATATGATCACTAACTGTATCAGACATGTTTTGTAATTTGTTATTCCATAATAGGGTCTGGGCTATATGGTGCTCCTCTCGGCAGATCTAAAGTATTCCCAGTTGATGAAAAGCAAAGCACCTACCAGATGTATTAAAACCACGATTGAATGTTCTGGTTGACCTGATAATGTTACGTTTGAATCTGCATTATGACCTTTACCTTTACAAACCTTTTACAAGAAATGTCTAATGGAAGATTATGAACCACCACACAATAGGTGCAAATTTTCTCCGATAAACTGGAAATCGATGTTTAGTGGCATTGTATACTTCCCAGAGAGGAACGATTTCAAGTTTTAGATTTAAAATGCTAGATTAATGCTTAATAGTTGTGCTAAATATTTTCAGTCGTAGTCACACGTGAAGCAAGACTGCATTATTAAAATATTAAAAAACTATTTAATAACTCATTGCTAGTGAAATATGTATGCTGCCTAACATCAGATACGTTTGAACTGCATTCATACTATGATTTGTTTGTAGAATAAAAGAATCGCATAAGGTTTTTAGTATACACGAGTCTTTACTGTAAATAATTCAGACTGAAGTGTCAGTTTCTCTCGAATTATGAGTTTAAATGTAGATTTATCTTCCACCTTTTTTATATTGCTTGGGTTTTTTATGTTCTGCAAAGTACCGGAAATTTTGTGGCTATCGGGAAAAAAAGAATGGTAAACCAATATACAACAGTACCAACAAGTTTCTTCTTGCAACATATCTTCGTAGACCCGATGAAGGCTGTAGGATTTATATACAGGGAACTCCGATAACATATGGTAACAATGAAAAAACAGAGGGAATAACTATTAAATCTAGTCCTTTCTAAAGCTCGGTGAGTGCAATTTATTTTCGATTTTCGTCATTATATATCAACTTCTATTCATTATGTCTCTATTAACGACATTTTGTCATTTATACATAAGCAATGGGGTTATTCGTTATATCCGCTCGAAGTTATATTCACTACCTGACCTGAGAAACGATCCTTTCTAAAATTATTTTTTTTCAAACAAAGGTCCCAGTGCCATCAATTTAGTCAATACCCTTAATCGAAATCAGTTCAATCGAAAATATTTCCCTACTGAACCAACCAGTTAGTTCTTGTCACCTCTACATTTGTTTTGTATACTGTTGTTTGACTTATGAGTTTGAATATCCCTTTTGTTTTATGCCACTTGTATTTACCATGTTTACCTATACCACATATTTTGCGACTTTAATTGTGTTGCAGAATCTCAATATCGACGACTTCTGGTCTAAACATCCTGATAGCACAGATCCCATTTTATACATTTTGCGGTTTGTTACGTTATAACATGTGACCAGAAAAATGCACGAAACACTTCTCTGTGAAATGTGTTAACCAGAGGGCCGAAATACCTTGAACCTAAACCTCAATTGGAAAAAAACTTTACAATACTTATAGATTCAGCAGAAAATTATGCCAGGCAATGAACTAAACTTGAAAAACAAATCGGAGATATTCTTTCAGAATGTGCTATGGTGTTGATACAAATAAGAATTAAAAAGCTTGAAATGAACACGCTGTATATTAACTAATATGAAAAACCATTATCGGGTAGAAATGGAATACTCCGGTAAAAATGAAATTATTTAAAATATTGTAATATTGTAATGTAATATCAATTTACTCTTATTAGATATTCTCCCTGGATACCTAATAACTAATATATCAGGGATACTTAGTGCAATGCTGTACACTAAGTAAATTGTTAACAGCAATAGTGTGCAATAAAATATATTAGTTACGTTAAAGAAAAAAAAAGTTAAAAAGCTAGATGGTACTGTTAACATTTACACCACAACTCTCTTTAAACACCCACATGTAGTTGAACACCTGTTCTACCTCAAAAATAAATTTGTAATTGTCCCGGCAGTTAAAGCCCCTAACAACATCGTCTCGTTTTGTTTGTAAATCGCGTTATAGAAACTGCTTGGTAAAAGCATAAGGCATTGTCAATTCACTATGAAAAGAGGAAATCATGAACAAGCAATAGTATGTTCGATGTTCCCATGAAATTCAACCAAAGATTAAGAAATAAATCTCATTTAATGTACTGATTATCAAAATTACATACATGTACATATCCTTACAAATAATTTTATATGACAGGGTCTGTTGAGTGCTCAATGAAACTCTTTGTTTTTTCTTAAAAATTACCAATATACATTTTATCAGCAATAAAAGTCGGACTTCAGAGTTACGTGAAATTATCTGTGCTAGGGTTGGTGTGAATCAGATCGGCATGCTATCAAAAGATTTGTAAATCCCTTTCCTATTTTGATAGTATAAAACATTTGACTTATATACCCTGTTCATTAGTACTCCTCATTCTACACTAAAGTCAAACCTTGTTTATAAAACATTGGCCAACGACTTGTTCCTTTACACGAGGCAGAGTCTCAAGTAGTACACAAATAAGTTAGAATTATGCTTTAATTTCATTATCTACTGCATAGATGAAGTCCTTTCACCAAATAATTCAGTTCGGCGACTATATTGAATGCATATATGCCATAAAACTTCAAATAAAGGATACCACAGATACAGTTAATTCTGCCTTGTATGAACTTAGAATTAACACTTTATCCCATCCCTTTTTTGACATCCTTCTACTACGTACACAGTATTTCGAAAAAGAATGTATTCACCTTCCCAGATCTTTATAAAAATTTGTATGATAAATTTCGAGAATCCATATTAATGGAAGAGTGTATTAAACACCAAAGCAAAGATGATGACGTTTCTTTATATTTTAACTATGACAAGGCTTGTTTTGAAGTAGAAAAGATGTTGTGAAAATGAACATTTTCAAAGCACAGTTATAATCAAAAGTTATAATTTACAATATTACATACCTGTAATACGCTTGTATCAGCTGGAAATATGACAAAGTTTACTTCAGTCAGAGATCCTACGTTGTTGGCAGATGCAAATGCTTCTACTGCCAGAAACATTGTAGAGGCTGCTGTATTTGATGGATAATTGAGCTTTCCTGTTCCGAGAGCAGGGAATGCGATGCTCTTCATGTTCAAATCTACTGCTGTGTTAAGGCAATTCTTGATGAAAGATTCATACTGCTGAAGTTTAAAATTCAACGAATAACTTTAAGAATAAGAGTTTTTTATCATTACATCTGTTGTTTGTCTAGAATCATTTAGAGCTGGTATGATAGAGCTTATGTTGTATGGACAGAAAATTATTATCTTTAACTTCTATGTCATTTAGTCTCTGGTGGAGAGTTGTCTCATTGGCAACCATACCACATCTTCTTATTTTTATTTGCAAGTATTCAATAGATAAATGAAATCATCCTAAATAAAGGCATCAGGTTTTTTGATCGATGTTCCAGTCTCATAAATCAATTAGAAAGAGACGAATCAAGGTATCAATTAAAAATTGAGGGAAATGCATTAACCCGAAAAGGAGCGAAAACATGTCCGTCATCATGGTAAGCGTCTCCTGATATGCATGCAATACCTTCAGAATCTGCATTTAGTTAAAACGCCCCAATCGACATAAGGGCACAATCGATAGAATTATCACACGACTAAACTGGTATCTAAAGATCTACGACCGCTTAAACATGACACTTGCGAGTCGAAATACTGACACAGCATATGAGTCAACCAATTCGTACTAGTGACCGTAAAACGTATGTAGTGCATGTCGATTTCAGTCGTTTTTCGTCAGAACTCTGTTGGAGCATTTTTTGTTTGTTTAAGGAGCAGGCCCCTTTAAGCGAAGTCAGCATTGAGTTAAAATGAACAAGGTCAACTTAGATATGTTAATGTATACGATGGACCAGAGGGTATTTGCTACTGGGTAATAGGAAGTTGACAAATGGAAAGTTGAAATCATCACGTTTGTCATGGATTCGAGTTTAAAATCGTCCAACTGTGTCAATATCGGGTAACAGATTAACATATATGAAGCAGACCTTCTAGTTATGGGATATATGAGATGTAATCAATCATTAATATCTGGGTTATTTAGTAACAGGAAATATCAACATATCTGAAAGTTAAATTTTTCAAGATACATTTTCGTTTTGTCTCTGAAAAGGGTCTAAATTAATTCTATTTCATATGAGAACAAAAACAAATCGACCAGAAGAAGTGCATATTTATTGCCACTGGAATGCCATCTGTCTGGTGAAATATAAATACATCAAACTAAACAAATATGCTGTCAATAAAACATTCCAGCATTTTGATGATATCATCATCAGTGTATGTGTTGTTGAAATCAGTGTTGTTCTTTTCAAAGTCATATTTTTCATAGCCCAATACAAGGAATTTGTAGCTACGTTTCCAATTTTTGTATAATAAATCTCTGGTTTATGAGACGATGCAGTCGATCTTTTAAATCAAAATTAGCATAGGAAATAGTAGTGTTTAGCGTAGAAAAAACAACGGTTTTGATATAACTGCAAAATTGTCAGATTGAAGATTTGAAGATACTTGGAATGTTTTCGAATCCACATCTGATTTATGGAGGCCATCTTTAACTGTATAAATAGGGACGGTAGGAACTTTAAAAAGATGTTTACTTGAATATTTTGACGACACGGCTATATATCGCTTTATATTAGTATTTTGTGAAGTTAAGGTATCCAGTATATCAAATGTGAGATTTTCATTTTTCATTTTTCTTTTTGACGTTAACACCAAAAGAGAGACCGACGAATTAGTGATTTTTTAAAAATGAATGATGTAGAGGTATATATACACTGATATAGGATTCCCAGTTTTGCGGCGAATTCCAAGCTCTTTGGTTAGACATTTCGAATATTGATTTATGTATATTCAACATTATTGTTTGCCTGCTGGAACAACAAAAAATGTATCGTTAACAGAGGATAACACATCCACATCATCGGTCTTACTGAAAGGGTCAAAGACCCGTGTGTTAATTGTACATCGTAGATTTTGAATGCAACTCTAGATGCGTGACCAAACAGCTTGCGTTTTTCCTATTTTCTGGCATAGTCCTCCACTGCATCAAACAGCAACCTGAAGTTCTTATTCCAGTTGATGGACTGAGGAACGATATTTATATCCTATGGCTTACAACTATCGAAGTTGTTAATTGTTTACGATGCTAAAGGTCTCCAGTCATAACATAACCAACAGATCTATATTCGTATAGGGACGATGTACAAAAGCAATCGGAATGTTTTGATTATACATCCCTGAGGGTAAACCTGTTATGGTCGACAATTTTGGATAAAATAAGTTTGGTGAGTAGATGAAAGGTGAAGTTTTATCTTTGAAATAATTGGGTAATGTTTTCTGCACAGATTTTTTATGGGAAAAAAATACTTATATTGATGGGATCCAAGCCCTTATTGGCGAATTCTATGTAAAAATAATCTACGTTTTTCATCATTACCTTAAACATTGATTTCACTAGCTAGGTCATTGAAACTAATATATGCAGATTACAAAAGCTAAATTTTTAAAGATATGCTTGTAGTACCTGAATATTGTTCTCTTTTTTAAATCTTGGAAGAACCCCATGAAAAACCTTTTTCGCTGATAAATTGTATCCTCCTGTTACAACTACCTCAGTGGACTGTATCTTTCTGCCTTTTATTGTCATGTCGCAATCATGCTGAAGATCAACACCAGCAGCTTTTAGTAATGCTTTAGAAACCATTTCTCTTGATAAATCAAATTCACGATTAGTGGCATTCACAAGGACGTCACACTATTTGTAAAATATAATGAAACAGATTTTAAATCTTTAAATAATAATCAAAAATAATTAATAACTTAGATTAAAAGTAATTCGTCGAATTAGGGATACAATTATATTTTTTCATGATGACTGCGATTTGTTGAGAAAAATGTGTTTACCCTATTAGATTACATGTATCTGATATTCCAAGCTAAAGTTAGGTTCGTGTTGTTTGATCGCACATTGTTTTATGATGTTGTTATTCAACTGCCTTCATTTTTGATTTTTTTTTACCATAAAAATATCCATCCATTTCGAGTTCTGAGTTCTTGATTGAATACATTGTACCTTTTGTTTTTCTTACAACCATTACCATTTTAAACCCATGAAATACACAAAAAGTAGAATGGCAAAAATACCGAACTCCAAGGAAAATTCAAAACGGAAAGTCCTTTATCAAATGGTAAAATCAAAAGCTCAAACACATTAAACGAATGGAAAACAACTTTCATATTCCTGACTCGGAACGGGTATTTCCTTATGTAAAAAAAGGTGGATTAAACCTGGTTTTATAGCTAGCTAAACCAATGAATAAAACAATCATTTTGGAACTTATCTAGCAAACTTTAGACAATAAAACACGTTTAATGCCAAAAGAGTTCACTGACCGTGTATAGATGTACACGACTTGACAATTATTATGGAGGTACAAACATTTTTGAAAACAGAAATTGAACCGTTTCATGTATTTAACTTCCATCCTGTTTTCATTTTTATCAACAGTGGGCCTTATTTTATACTAGTTAGAGTAATACATAGTGCACTAAGGGTTTGTATATTTATCCAAGTAATAGTTTGTAGTAAATCGTTGTTTGCTTGATTATTTTTTGCAGTTTGCATTATCCATTATTAATATTGTTAAAAAATTCATTCAATAATTTCAATTTTCTTTATGGTATATATAATTTGAAAAAAAATGAAATGGAAAAGATCTGTTTTCAGATTGTTGTTATTATAACCATTGTCGAACTTTCATTTTGCACTTTATGAAATAATGCAATATCGTCATTCAATTTGAGGAAAGAGAATATTTTATGGTGTATAGTGATATGAAATAATACAATATCGTCATTCAATTTGAGGAAAGAGAATATTTTATGGTGTATAGTGATATTGGGGTTATTTTAGTGTATAGAGGAATAGCATAACAGGGATATTTGAAATATCAAGGACGGTAGTCTAAAGCATCCTTTAATAATGTTTCATCAATTATAATTCCTCATGCTGATTATTGTGTTGTTAGTTCGTTTGTTAGTAATAATAAATAAACTCATCATAGATACCAGAATAACAGATTTAAACAATAAGCACACTTATTACGGAAAAGACGTATGAAATCAATGTCAGTACGTACGACGCAGTCGTTCGTGATCAACCTCCATAAACTTTGTACGGAGGCAAACGTGTGACGTCATAAAACAAGACGGCTTTACACAGGAAAGCTTCCAAGGTCAATTTTGCACAAGGCAGGAGAACCTTAGTTTTGGTCCAATTTCATAATTTAAACAGTGAACTAAACAAAATTTATAAACTAAGTCAGGCCAGCACTTACTTCTAATATCTTTTTGTTGAATGAACTGCCAAATTTCAATTTTTACTTACGGAATCAGATATATCAGTTGCAATTGTGAGAGGACAGCAGATGTGTAATCAAAACTCAACGTTTGATATCATGTTCCAAATTTTATGACTGTCTAGCTATATTCTATTGCGGTTTTTGTCAAATCATTCTTCTTTTCCGTCCCGTCGTTAAGTTTGTTTTAATGTTGTTTCTCATTTTTGTCATGGACATGTGGAGAGGGTATATATATATATATATATATGTATAAGTATGTCTGAACCAGTGACGACTCTACAACAGATTTTATCCATCGGATCACCAGCAGTGATGGTGATACAAGGCTGAAAATACATTCTGTATATATAATTCGTCTAAACAACAGCCCAACAATGTTAGATCTGTAAATTTGCGAAAGCAAATTTTTTGTTATTCCCTGGCCGGGATTCGAACTCATGCTACTGAGATATCGTGGCACCAAATAGCCTTGCACTATGCCCGACGCGCTAGACCACTTAGGCTCTATAATAATAAAGCTTTCGGTGGCCGGATGTTACCTTTCCTCGTCAGTTTTTATCTAGCGTCGTAACACAGTACATGATATTAAATGCATGAAGATGGAATTGTTACAGATCAGCTGAATTATCTATTGTAAAGGATCCTACAAATTAATGTAACATGTAAGATGCAGTCACAGAAATAATTATATTATAAGTTTGTCTGAACCAGTGTCGACTCTACAACAGATTTTATCCATCGGAACACCAGCAGTGATGGTGATACAAGGCTGAGAATACATTCTGTATATATAATTTGTCTAAATAACAGCCCAACAATGTTAGATCTGTAAATTTGCGAAAGCAAATTTTTTGTTCTTCCCTGGCCGGGATTCGAACTCGTGCTACTGAGATATCGTGGCACCAAATCGCCTTGCGCTATGCCCGACCCGCTAGACCACTCGACCACCTAGGATCTATATATATATAAACAAGTCTAAATTGAAAACAACGTTCAAACCTATGATTGGGTTGGATAAAAATCGCAATTTTTATACATGTGCATGCAAAACAAATTACTTGGTACTTTACACAAAAAACATTTTCCAAGAGACCAAAAAAGTGAAAAAGTATAATTTAACAAAACGCATTTGATTAGCAGGTCGAACAACGGATGTTCTTAAACCCTGCTGTCTGCCATTGGCGATTGCTAAAAAAACGGGTCACCAGAAGTAGCAAAATGGATCTTAACTATTAATTTGATACTAAACAGAAAACAATAAACTTGCGGAAAAGATGGTTGACCGCAAACAATAGGTGCACAAATTAGTACATCATATCCGGATTTCGACAATTAATGTCTCTTCAGTGATGTTAAGAATCGAAACGGTATTTGGAAGGCCATATAATTTACCTCAGTTTAGGATAGACTCTTGAATTGTGAAGAGTCGAAATATGATGAACGGATCATATAAACCCGAAGGCAAATATAATACAAGCCCAAACGAAAAAATATAAACAAGTCTAAATTAAAAACAAAGTTCAAACCTATGATTGCGTTGGATAAAAACTGCAATTTTTATACATGTGCATGCAAAACAAATTCCTTGGTAGAGGGGTCTATATTCAGCACAAACAACATTTTCCAAAAAGTAAAATCACAAAAATACCAAACTCCGAGGAAAATTCTAAAAGGAAAGTCCCTAATCAAATGGCAAAATCAAAAGCTCAAACACATCAAACGAATGGATAACAACTGTCATATTCCTGACTTGGTACAGGCATTTTCTTATGTAGAAAATGGTGGATTGAATCTGGTTTTAAAGCTAGCTAAACCTCTCACTTGTATGACAGTCGCATCAAATTCCATTATATTGGCAACAATGTGTGAACAAAACAAACAAAAACAATAGGTAAAAATGTCACAAATAGGGGTAAATAGTCTAATTAGGTAGGTCACATTCGTGAAAAGGGAAAAGGATTGTAGTTACGACATAAGGAACATATCCGATATGATCTGTGAAACGGGTATTCCATAACGGTCAACCAACTCGTGATGGCGTCCGTAAAATTTACATAGTGATGATTTCAACTTCACCATTTGGAACTCTTGGTTCAAAAGACAAAAAGGTATATTTTAACAAAACGCATTTGACTAGCAGGTCGAACAACGGATGTTCTTAAACCCTGCTGACTGCCATTGGCGATTGCCAAATAAACGGATCACCAGATGTAACAAAATGTATCTTAACTATTAATTTAATACCAGACAGAAAACAATAAACTTGCGGAAAAGATAGTATATATATATATATATGTATATTTTAAATATGATCTATTTGTCCATTAACAAAACTTATGATCTTACACATAGTATATATACATTGTAATTCCCTCTTACTAACAAACCTGATGAAAGGAAGCTAATACAAGGGATATGGATGCTTTTCTTCAATTAATGCATGAAAAGTGTCGTTTATCGCATTTGATAATTCGATGATACTAGTAACTGAAACTAGAATCTCGTATGTGCTAAGAGTCAAGACCGTCAATAATCGAAAACACTTCAATCACGTTTTGTTTTATTCTTGCACCAATCAAACGAGCAACGAACAACAGTAATACATTGAAGTATACTGAAAAAGTCCATCGTGGCACTTCAACTTTGACATATAAGGGGAACCTGACATGACAGGAATACTTGAAGCAATATTTGAATAAAACCATGTGTCCACGATATTTCGGTTTAAAGTACAAAAATTCCACCAAACGGTAATTCGATGTTATTTTTAGCAATAAAGCCTATGTTAAGCAAAAATAAGATATAACGTATGAACAGAGAGTTCGAGTTCGTCATTCAAGAAAGTACATGGAATAAGCTTCCATGGCAAAATCATATGACGTAGGGCAGACGACACCATAACAAAAAGGACGATGGAGAAAAACTAAAGATTGTGCAACATAATAACCACAAACACAAGAAATAATCTGAAGTATTCAAGATGGTTAACTTGTTCCTTCCCCGTCGTGATACTCGTAATAAAATGTGAAGTCAAATTCGGTTATTAATCTTTATAACATAGCGAATATGTAGATTTCGCAGCTTTAAACTACTTTACCCAAACCGTAAACAAATCTTGATGTATCTATAGGCTTCCTCAAATGCATGCAAAGGATAAGGTCCATTTCAGGCCCCTTATCATAATCAACAATATAACACTGACAGATTACTCCAACAGTCAATCGTTTCCCCATAAAAAACTTACTTTCATTACAGCCAATTCGCCTTTCACTACATTAATCTGCAATTTTTGCTTCAAAAATCCTGAAATAAAATGAAATGGTTGAGTAGGGTATGTGTTGCTCAGTCTTTAGTATTCTATGCTGTGTTTTGAATACTGTTGTTTGTCTTTTGGGTTTGTGGAGTTGTCAGTTTATTTTCGACGTTGAAGTTTTAATGTCCCTTTGATATCGTTAGCCTCTCTTTCCCTTTAGTAAATAATTTCATCTTATTACTTTGAAACATTTCATGGGTGATTAAAGTGTTTTCTTACGTTATTTATACCCTAAAATCGTATTAAAATAATATTTCAGGATTGTTATTTCTCACTCAGTATTTATTAGTGATGTTGGCATGTTTCAAATATCTAGTGTTATGACTCTCGCTTAAAAAGTCAGGCTTAATGCATTAAAACCCAAATACAATGCAAAAATGTAATGGACAATTTTTGCATTAGCATACCCCGATACACTGACTTGATTCACGGAAATCTACGCCATTCAGAATAACATTTCAGAGAAATAAATAAAAATATTAACAGCTGGAGGTTAAGGGAGCTATAAAACAAGGTTTAACCTATCAATATTTTGCGCAAAAAGCCGGTTTTATGTCACAAATCAAAGGTGGTTTCTAGTCGTTCTGTTGTTTGATGTAATCGATAGTTAGGTTTTGCTAGTGCTTATTGACTTACTCATTTTCCTTGGGGTTGGGTATTTTTGTAATTACAATTTTTTCAAATAAAAGGCAATATGTTAAGAAACAAACACCAACGCAGTTTATTTTCACTGGTACGTTTATATCATGGGCTGAAATAACATTAAAAAGTCATAACAGTTTGAAATAATAAATCTGTAACATACACAAAAGGCTGTATTTTTTTCACCATAATAATTACAGATCTATTCAAGAACAGTTCAGAACAGTTGGATAAAAGTATATTCTGACACTTCTAGAGAGTTTAATCGATTCTTAACTATAGTACAAGACTCTACTCTATACATATTTCATTTATTTAAAGAGTTTTGGTGGAAAAAAAGACTGAAATGTTCTTCAATAGATTTGTTTGTCCTTAACTTGCAAAATAAAACATGATAATGTTGCAATATCTGTATTATTTGCTATAAATCTTAATACAGTTTACCTTTCTCCAACTGACACCATTGGTTTATAATGTTGAAACTTGGTTCAAATATGTCGTCCGATGGAGCAAAGACCTGAAAATAAGTTGGTCGACTAAAAATGAAGGATAACAAAATTGTTCCTAGAAAATGAACGACAGGCCATCTCACTTTTTCAACTTCAGACAAATCGATAGACATAGGAGGAAGTCCTTGAAGTTTTGCTGATTTGACATAATCCTTCATTTCTGTCATCAGTTTTTGCAGGTAATCTTTTTCTTTCGTTATCTTCCAGATAGGCAGGCATATAGTAGCATGGCCTGGTTGAATTAAATTTACCTTACATTTGATGGTGGATGTATCATCACCTTAACAAATAAAAGAAGTAGATAAAGATACACAAGGCAAACTGTTAATATATATATATATATATATATATATATATATATATATATATATATATATATATATATATATAAATCATATTCAATCACTTATAGTATTTTGTTGAATTGCAATGAATGAGATAAACTGAGCTAAAATATTACTTAACTGAAATATTTTGTTTTAGCAACAGACAACTTTACATATAATCATCGTTACAGTAGAGAACAAGAGTCGCCCAGTAACCCAAATCGCATACCTGGAATCGTAGCATAACTTGACAAACAGGTGTCAGTAAAAATTATGCTTGGGTTAGAAATCTTCTCAAATGTCTGATTTTTGTCATTGTTCACTTCATTAAAAATCAATGAAATACGTGTTTGAAAGGTGCAAAACCTTTAAGGATTAATCAGACAATTTCGGCCCATTTTCCTCTGTTGGTGGATATTGATGCAATGCATTAAATTATTTTATATTTTATGCTATGGTCATTTTTTGTATTGTCTTAGATTATGTTATTTGTCTGTAGAGTGTCTATATGTCATTATTTTTTTCTTTGTTTAAATAGTTATTCGTTTTTATAGTGATTAAGATCATAACACAATTGACTGCTGTATCCCAATTTTTAACAATTTTACCTGTTATGGTTGTTTGTTTTGCTCACACATTGCTGTAAATATAATGGAATTATATGCGATTGTCATACAAGTGAGAGGTTTAGCTAGCTATAAAACCATGTTCAATCCACCATTTTCTTCATAAGGAAATGTCTGTACCAAGTCAGGAATATGACAGTTGTTTTTCCATTCGTTTGATGTGTTTGAGCTTTTGATTTTCCCATTTGAAAAAAGGTCTTTCCGTTTTGAATTTTCCTTAGAGTTGGTTATTTTGCTATTTTACTTTTTACTTAACACGTATAGCTCCAAGCTTTCTATATAAATTTGTTTTTGTGGTGCTTAATGCCACTTTTAGAGCTCTTGGTTATATGATGGCGGGTAGTTCTTATTGGAAACCTAAGTGCCGGAAAACTGACCATCCAGGTAAATTTAAGTTCGGAGTCAAACACATATCGCCATGAACGGGAGTTGAAGTCATAACCTCCGGTTTGACAGGCTTGTTATCATTATAGATGGACCACTCGTCCACCTATGCCCCTTGTGAAATATGCACAGGAGAGAAACGCTTTGCAGGGACAACACTCAGTGAAGTCGTCGGATATTGCAACAAAAGGTAACTTTTGTAGATTGTGATATGCCATATAGTAGTAACCATTATTTCTACCACTTTGAATAGTTTAGATAAAATACTTAGACTGGTGCAAATCATTATCACTATTCAAGCAAACTATAGACAATTACAACCGTATGAAATGTTTAGTAGATTTGGACGTTCATCAATTTTTACTTGTAAACCCTTATTTCATTGTTTTTGAGATATAGTCTTATATGTGCACATGTTATATTAAAGCAATGTTTTATTTTCAAAACAAAACTCTGCAAGGACACCAGACTGATTATTTGTTACGCCAAACTGGCGTTTCGGCTACATAAGACTTATGATTCCGATCGAAAGAAAGCAGCCAAATCTAATTTGCAGTTAACAAAGCATTGACAACGAAGTATTTCCCCTAAAAATGATGCAAATATTTATAAGGTCATATATGCCTGCGAGTAGGAAAACCATAGTTTTTCGAGTAATTCATTTGTGCACAAATTGTTTTCGGATCTTTTACAGTGTTATTGATATTTCATGTAAGCACATGTGTGCTAAATTAAAGTTTGGTAATACCTGAAGAGACGAAACTGTAACAGTTTAAGAGGGAATATTAATGAAAAAGCTAACACACGACGACAAGTACCTAAACTCATAAAGAGTCGTCCGATTAATGTTTCAAATTTCAGGTAAGATAGATCACGATTGGCTTATCATTTATTTAATTCATAAATATAAGTGAATAGATTTTGACTGCAAACAAATAAATAGAACCGTAAAATTATCAAAATATTCATATGTAATCAATTAAGCATGGTTAAGATAGACTAGACCCATTGGTGACAATCGGCTTTTTTCAGCTCTTTGGTCGGGATGTTGTTTCTTTGACACAATCCCCATTTCCATTCTCAATTTTATCCAATATCAGATGATGTATTTGACAGGGCCAAATGGATCGTCCGATTTGTCTATGGTTTCAAAGATAGATAGATTTGTTTTGATGATTATAATTTTCAGGATAAATGGATTTTATCAAGCTGATCATTACTGTAATCTATTTCAAATAGTCAGGTTTGATGTCATATTGAAATTGCCTTATATGACTCTTAAATAAAAAAGTACACTTAGTGCTAAAATAGCTGTACCACAACAAATAGATTTCCGAAATTAACATCGTTGTTTGGGACATAATGTTGCAAAATATACATTGTATAAGCCTTGGTTTACATCTACATATTAATGCCATTTTGCAGTATTGTTTGAAACTGAAGCAGTTTGAAAACTTAGAGCAAAATATGTAAGATACAATAAAAAAATATAAATACTGATACCTGATTGAAATATATCTGAACATCGCCATGATGTGTTCAATACATTTATGGAACTTTTTGATTTTCATATAGAAGGGACCAAAATAGTGACCAAACCAAATCTCCTGCTTTGCTTATAATAAACATTTCAGGGGACAATTACTCAAAAATAAATTGTTTAATTTAGAAAATTCCATGGAAGATAAAATTTTGAACTCCTGATAATTTTTACGTTTAGCTATCAGTTTTTCTCTGACTGCCAGGACGACGACGTCAATTGATTAGGGACTTTCCGTTTTGAATTTTCCTCGGAGTTTTTTGTGATTTTACTGTTTACAATAGATCAAATAGACATTAGAATAAGGTTAATTAAAAACAAAATGTAATGTTATCTTATATTAACTAACCAGCGCTATGTCCAACATTTAGAATCAACGTATTCTGTCCTAACCAATAATTGTTTTGCAAACTGCACTTGTAAAGCTTCACAGTGAAACCATCATCTACTGTTATACTGCGACATCTTATGTGTTCTCTAAGGTCAACTGGTTTCGTTTGTAGTTTGGTTGATATTACTTTGTCTGGTAAAAGAGAAACACAACATCTGTGGCTATCTGCAATGTTCGTCACCCTTAATTGCATATCTGCTATTTTATTCTCAATAATGTACGTCTTGTCTTGACCAGGCATGTGACAGTTCTTGATAAGCAGCTTCCACCATTGAATCGTCTCCTTTAACAGTCCATTTACAAAATGGCTCGTCTTGTTCATATATATTTACTGAATATTGATTTTCAATGGAGGACTTGTGGTTATTCAGTAGCTTTTTAATAGTTTTCAGTTTTTGTTTTGGAATTAAAAGACTCTTCGATGTATACATATGTTCTATGTGAGTTGAATTGAACCAGTAATCACCTGTTCGTGATACATTTACCGTTGCACAGTCGTTGCTCAGCTTTATCGAAAGTTTTCCATTTTCGTTGTTCTCTAATTTGGCTAACTTCTGTTTAGCATCATCTCTACTAAAATAACGAGATGGCACACTAATGATGTCTTCTTTCAATGCATCTTTAAATACGCCAATTGCATGTTCAAGTTTCGATCCGTTTGCTGCATAAAATTTAAGAGTATTCTGGTTGTGTTGAAACCATACACATGTTTTTCCTTGTAGGTCTAGGTCTTGAAATTGAATATTTAATTTTGAGTCAAGAAAAGCATGAACAGTATTCCTCTTAATAAACTGACACAAAGAATGACTAACTGTATGATGTTTGCAACACACAGAAAGGCAACCAGATGTAATTACACTTCTTATCTCATTTTCAACGGTCAATTTTGTACTGGAATCAGGAACTAATATCTGCAATCCAAAGTGATGTTGCACAATGGCAGTATTGGCCCTTTTTAAACAGTCCAATTCTAATAAGTCATAAATCCACAAAATTGCTTGGTCTTCTTCTGACAATTCGACGTAAGAATGTGCTTCTTTCTTTTCTCTTGAACTTTTGAGTTCATCAGATTTCACAATAGTACTTATGTTTACACTACAAATATGTATATTATCTTCAATAAATTCAACAACGGCACCAATAATCATTGTTGGTCCTACAATCCATAATGAATTTTCGACTTCTTTGTTGATATAAATACCCACTTCATACTTAGAAAATTTACTTGAAAATGTTTTTAAATCTTCCACTTTAATTGAGATGTTGACTAATTGTTTTATTTGTAAATTCTTTTCTTGTATCAATCCAATGAAGGTTTGTCTGATACATCTATGCATTTGTGCCTTATCAAATCTTTTTTTTGTGCTACTAATAGCAATTGGATCGGAAGATGCGAATTCATTGACAACTCCTATCTTTTTCATAGACAGATCCTTTTCCGTTGAATCTCCATAAATCATCCAAACATGTTTCCAAAGACATTTTGATTGCGCGTCATCACAGAGATCAAGGACACGTACGGCAATTTTTTTTTTCTGATGCCATCTTAGCTGAAAAATTTACTAGTTTGAAGAAATGAAAACCAATGTATCTAAGATACTACAACGTCTCCTACCTCAGTTGAATGTTGAGCTGCCGCGACATATTCATATAGACTTCATATACTTCAATATTTATGTTGCATTTTCTATATGTATTTCAATGTCTCGATGAAGTAAAACGAGTTATCAATTTATACCACAGAAATGGCCTTTGATTTTAAAAAGTTTGAAGATATTAATAAACAAAAAAAAGTCGATGTTAATACATGTAATATAAATTGACTTTCTCAATTCATAGATATAATACACGATATATCGATTTAATAATATCCATTTGAAATCTTACACAATTTAACCACTTCGTCGATAATTTCAAGTCATAATATAAAATTTGTAGTAATGTAATATTGCCTATGAGACAACTCTCCACCAGAGACAATTTCCAGAACACGATGTAAAATCAAGTCGCTTTATACACGTCAATATTCCGTATTCAAATAAACTCACAATAGATACCAAGCCTAAAAATCTTCACGCCAGACGCGCGCATCGTCCACACAGGACTCACCAGTGACACTAAAATAACAGAAAAATTAAACTAAAAATAAAACTTAGATGATGTAATAATTAATCGAAGTATGGTGGTAAATTTCATGAAAAAAAGACAAAACAAATTGAGATCTTAATGACAATTACGGATCAGTAAAAATATAAAACTCATATCAATTTGGTATGTACACTTATATAGTATTAGCTTACCGAGCAAACTAAAGCTTTGGTTTAATTTAAATTTACATAATTTGAACACAAAAAATTTTGCTAATTTTTCTGCAATTTTAATGGATACGACTTATGAAATTTCACAGCCGTTATCTTGAATTTAGGTTTTGACCAGTTTTTATTTAAAGTTTGATAATGGTACGGTGTATGAATATTTCCCCTTCAAATGTAACAAAATGTACGTGTAAATCTAGAAATTATCAAAAAAGCAGCCATGCCATGCAATGATATTGTTTTGGGACATTATAAAAGAACAGTAATCTTGATAATAAAATTTTACATATGTTTTGTTATGGAAATGCAATAGTTAAAGATTGTCATTCAAAGAAAACTGATGATATAGTCTTACAAAAAGCATAGATGATCCTTTAAATAACAAAACCAGTACCCATATGGTGTATCATGTATACTAGCAAATATGATACTATAGATAATAACCTATATGTATTTTTAATAAACGACCATTTGTATTAATGACCGTTAATAAAATTAGATTAAAGAACTCACAACATAATTAATGTCATTTTTTTATGATATCATATATAGTACCAGGTATATGGATCCACTCACTAAGGTACAAATATTTTACAGTATAGAAGATCTTATACGTATCAGTGATACTGGCTCTGATGTAAACTGTAACCAATGACAGTGAAACAAGTATGTCAAGGCGACTTTATTCGTTTTGTATATTAACTTACTCACCAAGCGAATGTCAAACTTCATGCAAGCTTACATGATCTATCAAGTTCCGGATATAAAAATCTTTGAAACTCAATCTATTTTTTAGGCAAAATGTCCTCGATGGCAAACCGGAGAGCAGAAATTTGATAACTCCTATGACTTTATTTCAACCAATAACTAATCTAATATTAGATACTCAAAATATTTACTTTAAAGTGTCTAAAATTAGAAAATCAATATATATAGTAACAAAGTCTTGATATCAGGCCAAAGGCAAAACCATTTATAAACGAAACAAAGGTTTTTTTTTCTCATGCATTTTATATAATTTTATATAGCTTAAGGACTATTTATCCAAGTGATTTTTTCATTAATAAATAGTATCGTAGTAAATATTTTACCCAATTCGTTGTTGCTTGTCGAATTTGATATAATTTGTTTGTCACTTCATATTCTGACAAAATCATTCAAAATTTTATAAAGAAAATGACGTACATGTGTGTAGTCAACGGAATTTCTAATAAAAATGAAATGTTTGTTAATTCTTAAACCAAGCTTAATACAATTATATTTGCAAGCATTTAATTGTTATATAAACGACACCCATTTCTCAATCTATATTTATTTGAAGTTCGGGTGAGTGTTCTTTTGTTTTGTTATCATGTTTCGGTTGAGAAATCGCCATCAATAATAGGCGAATAACTCATGATTCGTAATCAAAGTAATTTAACATGTTTAATCGGCAAAAACAAAATACTTTACCATATTTACAGACAAAATTGTAAAACGCTTACCTTGACTACATACATAGAAATGATAACGAAAGTAGAAACAACTACAAGCATGCGTATCAAAAAAATGTAACACTCGAGGGCCTAAATGGGGACTTTTATAGAACATGTATTAAAATAATACTTTTTAAGTGTATATAGTTTTTAAGTGTTTCCTATGTCTGCTTAGGATGGTTATTGATCTATTTCTCGGTGTTTTGTTCATTGTAGTCATGATGTTGATCAATATGTGACACTGTAATACAACATCATTTTATTTTATCCAATATTTATCATACAAGAAATATTCTATTTAGGTTTTGATTTATAAGATATAAGTTTTTCACCTCAATGGTAATCACTATTATTTTTAAACAAAATATACAACAATATTCCTTGATTTCATATTTAAACTCCAATTTATCTAATCACAGATATACCTTAATAACATTTCCTTAAATAAGATTATCAGATGCAATTTTAGTAACGTTTAAATTCTTTTGAAATTGCTTGTGTTTATAGTAAGTAATTAGTTTATTATACTTGTGTTTACTTGAGAACATATAAATAAAGTAACGTTTGAATTCTTTTGAAATTGCTTGTGTTTATAGTCAGTAATTAGTTTATTATACTTGTGTTTATTTGTGAACATATATCAATAAATATAACACAATTACAAAGTGTGTATAGTCAATATTGCACTCTGCCCATTGGACCTATCTATAAATACAAATACTACCTTTTGAGTTTCATTGTAACAGTTGCAATTAACGTTATATGGCAACACGGCATTGGACTGGAACTTTTTTTTACTTTTTTGCACATAAATTAAGGGAAAAAAAACCTTACCAAGAACGTTCTCGTGGTTCGTAAACCACTGTAGGTTAAACATTCCATCAGTCTTAAATTAGTTCTGGATAAAATCTTCAACAAAGATAAAATTGTAAATAGTACCTCCACAAAACAATCATTAGGTAGATACCAGATTTTCAAGAGTTTTATTAAAGTCTTCTGGGTAATTAAAATGCCTGATCTATCTCCCATAAAATGTTTTAAATCTCTATTTTGTCTTCTTGTTCTTTCCTAGGGTCACGGTGATCAGGTTATTTTTGTTTATCAGTTTTGTATGCCAGACACGCGGTCGTCTACAAAAGACTAACTAGTGACGATCGAAACAGATAAGTAAAAATGCCAGATAAAGTAGGAAGTTGAACAGCACTAAGAGCCAACTATTCCGAAAGGTCGCGCCGAACCATCAACTAATTTAGGATTTCTTCAGAATGGGAAACTAATTTTTTTTTATAACGAAGGAATGATGCAAGCTGCTTTCAGAAGTACAATGTACATGCATACTTTGTTTTCTATTACATATACCTGTACACATGCCAAATGCTTCAAATTTATATATAAACGCAATGATAAATGATTTATAGATAAAGAGGCGAAACATACCAAAAGGAATTGA